GATGCATCTAAGAGTAATTTGTGTCAAAGACCAGTCACAACAAAAAACAAACAGACTGGAAATTATAAAAAATAGACCTCACAGCAGCCTTATTTCCATAGAAGAGGATATTGCAACACATGGTCAGATGAACCGGTGACCTTTAACAAAACTAGCATTTCCTGGAGGGTACTGTCCAGCACAGCGCTGCCTTTGCAGTCTTGATCCCTGCGCACAGAGATTTCTCCAGATTTCAGAATTTTTTTGATAATATTATGTTGCAGGTGATGAGATATGAGAAGTCCTCACAATTTTATGTTAGGAACATTAGTCTGAAATTTGCACGCTTTTTTTTGCCAATCAGTGATCTGCCCGTCTTTACTTCTTTTCTAAGAAAGTTTCGAACATGTTGCAAATTCACCTAATTAGTCGCAAAATGTCCCACCATCTATTTCTCATTAGTACCACTTGCTTTTCCAGCCTTTCGTTGCCTCCATTCACACTTTTCTGAGACGTGATGCTGCTTTCTACGGTACGGTACGGAGCCCCGCAAGGGACATGGGAGAAAAAAAATTAAGACGGAATTTTGCGAGATCTCGCAAAACTAACTCGGGATCTCGCAAAACCGCAAAAGTTCATCGTAATTTTTTTTCTCCCATGTCCCTTGCGGGGCTCCGTACCGTAGCTTTCAAATTCAAAATTAGCTCATATTTTTCATGGAATAGTTCAATGTTACTAAACAAAACATTAAAATGTTTTCTATGTTCTACTGTGAATACAATATGAGTTTGGGGGATTTTTACAAAGCATTTAATCTTTTTTGGAATTGCTGTTGTAATCCCAGTGAAGAAAGACACATGAGATCAGAGAATTTACCTAAAATTTGTCCATCATGTCTGATGATCCTGCTTTCCCTTACTGTGAAGTATCTCTATATAAACACAGTTGATATGATATCTGCCTCTTCTGTAGATACCTGCAAAGCAGGTTCTGCTGTGGATGCAGAACTAGCCAGCGCCATAATGGCACGGCAGTTTCACCCGCCTGTTACTGGTCCCGAGGTCTGGGAGGGATACGTCTTTTCTGGTCTGGAGATCCTCATCAAAGAGTCCACAGACCTCTATGGAGCTGTGCTCTGGCCCTCAGTGAGCCCAAAAATTGTCCTTGAGTTTAGATGTGATGTATGCTCATAATTTTGATCCCTGTCACTTAAAAAATATATACTTGGTTCCCTCTAACAGGCCATGGTACTCTGTCACTTCTTGGAGAACAACCAAGACAAATACAACCTGCTGGACAAAAATGTGATCGAACTGGGAGCTGGAACTGGGCTTGTTACCATCGTGTCCAGCCTGTTAGGTACTCACACAAGCCAGTGATTAGATTTAATCTTGTTAAGTTATTTTTCTCTTCCTCCATAGTTATTCCTCAATTTTACTTTTACTGTCTCTCCAGGTGCTAAGGTGACCTCCACTGACCTACCTGATGTGTTGGGGAATCTCCAGTACAATGTGACGCGTAACACCAAGGGCCGGTGCAAGTACACCCCTCTAGTGGGTTTTATATTTTAAAGCGTCACATTCAGGAGTATCACCATAAGAGTTAAAGATTGAAAGTGTGTGTGTAAATCAACCCACCCACCTCTGTTTTCAGGTCACTGAGCTGATCTGGGGTCAGGAGTTGGATCAGCGTTTCCCATGTGCCACTCATCGCTTCGACTACATCCTGGCAGCTGACGTGGTGTACGCCCACCCTTACCTACAGGAGCTGATGGACACCTTTGAATACCTGTGCCAGGAAAACACTCAGATCTTGTGGGCTATGCGTTTCCGCCTGGATCCGGAGAACAGCTTCGTGGATCGCTTCCGGCAGCGTTTTCACTTAGAGGAGCTGTACGACCTTCCCAGTCTGAGTATCAAGCTGTACCGAGCCTGGAGGAGGGACAGCACGACCAAGGACCTCAGAGAGGCTGCTAAACACTGAAGGAACTGGATGGGTTTACTGTGTGTGTTTGTGTTTTTGCTCAGTCGAGCCTCTGAGGGTCACGTTGCTCATATCCAGTCTTCTCACAGCACTGGTGATGTGGGAAATAATGTTTCTGACAACCCAGAGATTTTCAATAAGAGGTCTTTTGGTATGTGACTTCATGTGTGCAGTGCGATCAGGTTTTATCACTGCTGGAAGGACTGGAGAAGCACACATCTGTGTCTCGGACTGTTTAAAGGTTAATAAAATTACACACACTAATGGTTCTTGTATAAAATATATTCTGGGGACCATGAGGAAGTGGGATGCAACTTGTTCTCTATCACCATCCTTGGGTCAGGCTTTATATTTTTGGGATTAAATGATAGAAAACTGCAACCTTTACCTCCTTTTTTTGTTTTTGTTTTTAATGTTTTCTATTTTAAACTGTTTTAGATTGAAAATAAGCTGCTATGAAAGTTATTTCTTTGAAAATTTAAATAAAAATATGAACTCATCAAGACTATATGAAAGGGGCTGCACCTTGTGTGTGTGTGAGACTGCAAACAAGCCAAGGTGGTTCTACAGGCCTCAGCTGGCACGTTTAATGTTGAAGTTCATGAAAGTACAATTTAAAAAAGACTGAAGAAGTATGCTTGGAAGAACTGCAGGAGAAAGCCTCTTCATGATAACATAGCTTAGGTTTGCAAAATTGGGTATGAACGATGTCCTTTGAACAGATGAAACCAAGGTGTGTGCCCGTAGTGCAGTTGAATTAACAGTTGAGTGTGTTGTGTGATGTTTTTCTCCTGAGGTTGTATTTAAATCGTTTTCGAAGCTGCTAAGAACAGGAGGATTGTTTTTTAATCATGGCACACACACTCATCAGCCACTTTATCATGTACACTGTTCAACTGTTAACATAAATATCTCATCAGTCAATTACATGGCAGTGACTGAATGCATATAGGTTGCAGACATGGACAAGTGAACCTACAGAAAAATAGAAAATAACCAGTGAGCAGCAGTTCTCTGGGTCAAAATGCTTTGTTGATGTTAGAGGTCTGATGAAAGACAAAGGTAAGTCCAATAACCACTTGTTACAACCAGCATATGCAAAAGAGCATCTCTGAATGCACAGCACATCAAACCTTGAAGCAGTGGAAAATCACACTGAGTGCCACTCCTGTCAGCTAAGAACAGGAAACTGAGTCTACAATTTGCAGGGGCTCTCCAAAATTGGGCAACAGAAGAAAAATGTTGCCTGGTTTGATGAGTTGCATTTCTGCTGGATGGTGAGAATGAGAATTTGGCATGAACAGCATTGGAGCATGGTCTTGTATCAGGCTGGTGGTGGTGATTCTGGGTTCTTCTCCTGCACCCAAAAACATGAAATATTAAACTTTGAACTTTATTTTTTATTTTTTTAAGTTTACAGTGAATTGCAGGTAATTTTTCACCAGCAAACAACTTCAGGAGGTCAAATGAAAGATCACAACCATACTGGGCAGTACATACTAGGCACACATTTTTTTGTGTTTTGGAAACTCCCCAATGAGCCTTATTAGCTGCTTTGGAAAAGGAAGGTTCCCGTCACTTTCTATTCATGTGACCTATAAAATCTGATGCCTAATTTTTGATTCCAAATCTTCCGACACATCTTGGCTCATTTCTGTCCGGTCGTTCCTCTTCTTTCTGCCAGCTCAGAGCATATGCGCAGTTTGGCTGAGGAGGTAGAGGAGAGGTTAAGATCTGTTTAACAAAGCAGCTATCTAAGCTGGTGTCAGTAAATGTCACAGCCACCATTAAGAAAAACAAATACTCAACAGCTGAAGATTAATGTGGACTTGTGGTGCCTGTCATCGAGCTTAAAAACTCCCATCTTTTATCCAAATAAGGCTGCTTGGCATCGGTAGCACAACCGGGCAATGACTTAACCACTGCATGCTTTCTATTAATGTGTCAAAGCACCCCAAGGTCCTGGATGGAGTTCGTGTTTTAGGATGTGAGTGGATTTAGCTGGACGATAGGTGAAACTGGAGGGTGGGGAGGTGGTACTTCATGCAACTGAGGGTGGTCTAACTGAGGTTTATATTACTGAAGCTCGCTTCTTTTCTCAGGGGCTGCATGCCGGGCTGATCCTGTTACATCTCTGGTGAAGCAGTTGAGGGCATTGCAGGAAAAGCAGGCACAACATGGACATGTTCCACGTTACACACGTCACTTTTTTAAATAGACGAGACCACATTTTCATCTGCAAAAGCAGGTGATTGCAGGAGACGTGAACGATCAAGAAATAAAAGTGCTGCTTGAGCTTTGACCTCTTGAGGACACATGGTGATCATCCCTTTAATTACTAATTAAAAGGCGTATACAGAATTATTAAAAGCTTTTTAATGGACATAATGCTGATGTCCTCCATGCAGGCATGTTTCATGTTGTTATTGCTGGTCTCTCTCTTTTTTCTTCCTCCTTATGCAGGAGTTACAGTTGTTGACTGCCTAACAGCAGGCATTAATTGAAACAACACAAACTTGGGAGCTCTCTGCCAAGATGCCTTCAAGCCAAGCATAAATTATGTATTGGGCTTGATTCCCCTCTTGGCCCCATGTGTCTCCACTTTTTTTAGACTACTTACTATCGCAATAAACGATACGTGGACTGATTTGAACTCACGGTGGTGTTCAAGTTAATGTAAAGTTATCTCTTAACTTTAAAAGTTAGAAAAATACCAGCTTCTACAGGTTTAACATGAATTCCTAATACATCTGGGTATGGTGTTACAGACCGTGCAGGTTTTTGCAAAGTTCCAGCTTTGAGAAGTCAAAAAGTACCGGTGACAACAAACCCCCCCACCCCACCCTCAGCCTGCTGATATCATTCTGTCTCTCTCTCTCCTTTTGGCTTCCTCTTTGGCTCGTCTTTGTAGCATGTCCGTGTGAGTCTGCTTCTACGTGTGTTCTGCTCCGGGATATTGCTTGTGTTTATTTCTCATGGGTACTGCTCTAAAAATATCACCGTGCCCTTGTGATGATGATGGGTGTGTCCTGGAGGATGCTCTATAACACCTCAGTCCGAGGTCTCTGTGATGCATTCGGGTGGCTCCTGAGATCTTTCTCAAATTTGAAGCTTGCAAAAGGTATGTGAGGCACTTACAATATTTAGAGGATTGTTTAACATACAGTCCTACATGGACTCATGTCTCAGTTAACTGTCTAACATTGCAGAGCATTCTATATGGATACTTTGTCCACACCCTCTGTGGAAGAAACCATGTATATGGGAAGTGAAGAAGAAGAAGATGAGGAGACAAATGGAAGTGAAGAGGAGGACAAAGGTAGGATAACCCTTGGTGGGTTATGTGTTTGATTCAGATCAGATCAGAGTACCTGACATTTAGATCTTTCAGATGATTCGCAAACAGATCAGTCATCTGTAGGGAAGCAGCAGAGACCAGCCTGGGCTCCATGTTTCTTCTACAGAGCTGGGAAAGAGGTGTACAACTATGTCGGCCAGGAGATCATCATTCAAGAGGCTCTGGACTCGTATGCTGGCATGATATGGCCGGCAGTGAGTAGCACTGTTTCCCTGATTTGAAAGCTTGCATGCAATCATTTTCTCTAATATTACCAGCTTCTGTCTTGTATCACAGACCTTCTGTACTTCTTTGACATTTTGATCAAATATTTTTGTGAAGTTTTCAACCACGTTGCATCATCATCATCACTCAGATGGACACAGAAGCTCAGCTAGCTGACTTTGCATCCATGAAATGTGTTTGTGACAACTGTGAAGAAATCTGAAGATTTCACAAGGATTATCTCCACAACAAACTTGGTGAACTCATCAGATAACGCAGTCCATTTGATTGGGTCAAAATTTCAGTTACTTTTTTATGTAAGTGCTTCAAATATTGGCAAGAAATTTGTATTTTAATCACTTACATTAACTGCTGTGAGAAGTGCTGCACTGAAATTTGCGGTACATACAAAACAAATTTCATCAGTACTTCTACTCCTCAACAACTGCAGTAAACACTAAAACAAAAAAACAACCTCACCAGTTCTGGATACCCCTGCCCACAGATTTGTGAGGTTCTTGGCAGGCTGGTTGCTGGAACAAGGGGGTCAGACACATGCTCTGTCCCCCTTGTTCTTCTTGTTGCTGAAAATAATTTTTAATGACTCTGGCTGAATGTTTGAGCTTGCTGCAGAAGGAATATGGGACAGAATCATCGAGAAAGAATGATCCTACTCTGTACTTGAATATAAAGTGCTTAAAATTGATATAGGGAGTCAAAAAAGGATGCTTAGAAAAGTAATGGATATAGAGTCTTGCAGTTCATCGTCCTGCTGCATAACCGAAATGTGTTTTATGGCATGAACTGATTGCTGGACATTCTTCTTCAGGATTTTTCTGGTAGAGAGCAGAATTCATGGTTTTATCCGTTACAGGAAGTTGTCCTGACACTCCAAAGCACTATCATGCTATCACCAGAATGTTTGACTGTTGGTATGATGTTTCTTTTATGAAATTCTGTATCACCTTTAAGGTAACAGGATTCAAATGTTGTAAAAAGTTAAACTTCGGTTGATAGTGGATTTCTCCTTGGAGCTCTCCCATTGATGCCATCTTTGCCCAGTCTCTTTCTTATTGTCAAATCAAGAACTCTGACCTGGACTGAGGCAAGTGTGGCCTGCAGCTCTCGGTTGTTCTGGGGGTGGGGGGCTCCTGAATGAGTCGTTGATGCACTCTTGGGGTAATTTTGGTAGGCTGGCCACTCCTAGGAAGGTTGAGCACTGCTCCGAGTTTTCTCCATTTGTGGATAATGGCTCTCATTGTGGCTCACTGGAGTCCTAAAGCCTTAGAAACAGCTTTGTAACCTTTCCAGTCTGGTAGATGTCAATGTGTTACTTTTTGAGAGGTTTTAGTCTATTTCGCTTTGTCAAACAGGCTGACATTAACTAAATCGAACAGGGTTTGCTAATCATAAAGAGAAGATTAAATATGTACATATGTCCTCAGGGGTTGGCTCTCTGTCATTACCTGGACACTCATCGAGAACAGATCAATCTCGTGGATAAAGCAGTCCTGGAGATCGGAGCAGGAACCGGCCTTGTGTCTGTCGTAGCAGCACTCCTTGGTACGTAGGCAGAGATGAAGCTGTTTTCAGAGAGCTGCGAGGTTCTACATGTTTTGTTATTTCTCTTTCAGGTGGCTGGGTCACAGCCACAGACCTACCAGAGGTCCTGAACAACCTGAGGGTCAATTTGTGCAGGAATACCAGGGGCCACTGCAGACACACGCCCCAGGTAGCAACTTTGTCATGGGGCTATGACCTGGAGCGCACTTACCCATCATCGGTCTACCGCTACGACTACGTGCTAGCAGCCGATGTGGTCTACCATCATGACTTCCTGGATGAGCTCCTGGTCACCATGAAGCATTTCTGCAAACCGGGAACAACTCTAATCTGGGCCAACAAGGTCAGGTTTGAGTCTGACTTGACTTTCACTGAGAACTTTAAAGAGGCCTTTAACACAAGCTTATTGGCCGAGGATGGAGAGATGAAGATCTTCATGGCAACAAGTAGAGAAGGAGAGGAATGTTTTAGTGATGTCATGCTGGAAGATCCGCTGAGACAGAAGGAGGGGAAAGAATGGAAGGAGATTGAAGATAAAGATAAAAAGGGGAAAGAAAAGCTTGTGGAGCAAAAATCCAATGAGGATGACTTGAACAATCATGAAAAAATAAGTTATGATGAATTACCAGAAAAAACCAACATGTTAGAGGATGAAAGAGAAAATGAAAAGGAAGACAATACTGAGTGTGAAGAAGAGGAGAACACGGTGGAGGTCCTCACAGATGAGAAGGCTCAACCAGAGGACACAGATTCCAGTTCTGAAGATATAACAGGTGCGCCATTTAAATGGCATACCAGTGTATCAGGACATGTATCAGTGTTACACACAAAATACCGGTAGTAATCTCCATGTGTTTAGAGGGTCAGTTCACTCAAATTTTCTTTTCCTTTCACAAGTTTTGAAGATATTAGTTTATAAAATGCTGGAAATCTTGTGGAACCAAGTTTAAGCAGTAAAGCATTCAGGAGACTTATTAGTCTTAGATATTAGGTAAAGGTGATGCCTCTGTGCCCTGGGTCATTTGCAGCTGGTGGCCCAGGGCATCGGGTTCTTCAGAGTGTTTTGACTTCATCAAACAAGGAGCCCTGCTCTAAAAAGAGATATATTTTACATGAGATATCGGCTGACACTCAATTACAAAGGGACCATTTCTTCACTATAAATTTGTGAGGAAAAGTTAAAGGTACAGAGAAAATGATTCGTGAAAGTATTTTTTCCCTTTTCTGTCTAAAATATCTCAGATTTTGCATTATGATCCATGTGTGATCCCAACATTTATATATATGGAATTGCACTGACATGATTTTTAAACATTCATGGTCTTGTCCATTTTCCTAAAATTAGGCAAAGGTGATGCCTTTGTGGCCTTTGTAGCTGAAGGCCCAGGACGTCAAACTCTACCAAGTTATGACCATTGAGATCTTACCAAATAAAGAGACCTGTACTAAAAATAGAAAAATAAAAAGCTAAATGTACAGATATTGATCCTACATGTTGACCAAGTCTGAAATGGCTCAAAGTTTGCATTATAATCCAATATGTGAGGCCCACAATCATTAGACATGATATTCAAACATTCATGGTCTCCAGATGATGACCACCATCAGATCTCTGTTGAGTTTGCTTCCTGCTGTACTTTTAAATTTCTTAAACCATAAAACATAAAGTCATAAACTTTGCTTTATAACTACAAAACCAGTGAAATTCCTTTTTAACTGAAATTCTGTTTAGTGACAGTTAGCAAATATTAGCATGCTAATGCCAAATTAAGATAGCACACTATAAACATGTTTATGACACAATATTTGCAGGAACAGTGTTTAAAAGCATGCTACCATCCTAACACTTTCATGTAGCTGAAAGTAAAACTGAATAAGCTTTACACCTGATATTGTCTGTTCAAAAAGTAGTCAGTGTTGCTAGCCTCCAAAATATCGTGCTAGCATGTTATATAGCCACAAAGCCAACGTAGCAAAATGTTTACAGGAACTAATATTCTGCATTTTTAATAGTTTAAACGGATTTTAATACTTATAAATAAAAAAAAATGTAGAGCAGCATTTGTTTTTCTTTGTAATTTTACCTTTAAGTAAAACAACAGCTTTAAGGAGACTGGCAGGATTCTTCTCCTGTTAAATCTGAGGTGTAAGACACACCACACCGTAAGGCCACAAGGTAGACAAGCCAAAACTATAACCAACTGCCCTGAGGGAAACCACGGGGTTGATGTGGTGCCCGCTGGTTTAGAGTGACTGAACCTAAAAGGAACTGAAGCAGAGACATGTTTTTCTTTGCTGTCAGGTTATCTGACCCTCGCACGCAATGACACCATTATACCCATTAAAATGCTAACATTTGTCTTTTTTAGTGTTCCAAATTATACAGTGAGGCAAATGCTGACTCATAAGCTTCCCAGTATTTGTCTGACACTCATCTTAGCAATCTTAGAGAATTATGCATAATTTATTTTTGTCCTTACTGTGTCTGATTGAACTGAAGCTCATTTCTGTTTGTCCTGTTTGTTCCCACAGGACAGGAGATTAAGAAAGAGACAGCTCTAAAAGAGAACTGGATCCCCAGCATCGGCTGCAGAATTGCTAAAGATATCTATCATTATGTAGGGGAGGATATCGTTATTTATGAATCCATAGACTCTTTTGGAGCAATGATGTGGCCAGCGGTGAGCATTTATGAAAACTGTCAAAACACTATTGAAAGTGGACCTTTTGTACGCTTTCTTGATTTCTGTCTTATATACAGTGTTACGGAAGCCTGTGAGCAAAAAGCTGTGATTTCTTACTTTCAGACAGTTTTTTTAGTCTTGGAACAGTATGATGTCACTTAGAAAGGATACCCTAAATATGGTCATGCATGTGGCCAATCAGAAGTGGCTTGGCTTAAAGGAAGGATGGCCATATGGCAGAGCAGCTAAAACAGCTTGTTTCAGACAGTGGATGAACCAAGGCCCAGTAATTTGTAAACTATAAATCATGCAAAGCTATTATAAAAATTAGATAAGTATACATAGTATGATCGTAAAAGCAGGACCACACTCAGTAATTTGGTCTTGTCTGATCCCCCTCTGTCCTGAAGGCGTTGGCTTTGTGCTCCTTCCTGGAAAACAACAGGCACATGGTGAACCTGAAGGGGAAGGAAGTGCTGGAGCTGGGAGCAGGGACAGGACTAGTAACCATTGTGGCCAGTCTGCTGGGTGAGGGTTCTCACACAATCTGACACAAAACACAAAGCATGTATATGCAAACACGCAGTGGCACTGAACATTTCACAAGTCTTGCAACACCACAATGCCCTTGTATCGCTGTAACGATGATGTATTTCTTCATCATCAGGAGCTTCGGTCACAGCCACAGATTTGCCAGAGATTTTAGGGAATCTCCGGGCTAACGTGATAAGGAACACCAGAAACCGCTGCAGACACACGCCCCAGGTGGTTGCTCTGCCATGGAGCTACGACCTGGAATGCACCCACCCATCATCGATCTACCACTACGACTACATACTGGCAGCTGATGTGGTCTACCATCACAACTTCCTGGATGAACTCCTGGTCACCATGAAGCATTTCTGCAAACCGGGAACAACTCTAATCTGGGCCAACAAGGTCAGGTTTGAGTCTGACTTGACTTTCACTGAGAACTTTAAAGAGGCCTTTAACACAAGCTTATTGGCCGAGGATGGAGAGATGAAGATCTTCATGGCAACAAATAGAGACTGAAAGGCCAAAGAGGTGTGGATAGATTTCCTGAGACACTCCCATGGGATAAGCCATTGAAGTGTACGAATTGCCAGCAACTCAAATGGATCCATTGAAATGATCCAGTGTTTACTAATGCTGCTATGTGCTTGAACTAAAATTAGTTACCTGCTGTTTTATACATGTTGGTGGGGGATAAAAGAAAAATCTGAGGAGATGAGTGTGAGTTTGGATCTGCTGTGGCAGTGACGTTTGCTAAACAAATGTTCGGATACCAAATTCAAGGATGCTGAAAATGTGTTGTGAAAATCATCTGCCTTCTATGGTGCAGTCCTTTCTAGACTCATTAGACACTTTCTCGGAAGTGCGTGTTACACTGGTTGACAATAACCTTCATATAGGAAAATTTTCTATATCATGCTGATAACACACATCCTGTACACTTTTGTAGAGTTATATTACATCCCCCAACACTCTATACTCATATTTTGTAATTAATACTTAAATAGAGTCAATACACACTTACCTACCACTTTATTACTGGGTTGGACCCACTTTTTTTTCGTCAGAACTGCTTTAATTCTTCATGGGATAGATTTAAACACCTCTCAGAGATTTTGTTCCATGGTAACAACAACCACTCTGCAACTATTTGAGCTTTGGGACATTGTGGATTATCCCGATAGAAGTTAACATCAGAAGACAGGTACACTGTGGTCATAAAGAGTCAATACTTAAGTTGTGCTGTTAAAAATATCCTCCACACCATTACACCACCACTAGCTTAAACCATTGATCCAAAGTAGGATTCATGTTGTTTACATCTCATTTTGACCCTAAACATCACAGCAGAAATCCAGACGTTTTTACAATCTTCTGTTGTCCAATGTTGGTGAATCCATGTGAGTAGCCTCAGTTTCCTGTTCTTAGCCAACAGGAGTAGTGGTGGTCTTCTGCTACTGCTTCAAGGTTTGACATGCTGTGTGTTCAGAGATGCTCTTCTACATACCCTGGTTTTAATGGGTGATCGGCTTCCCAACAACCTAACATATTCACTTTCCCCCCAAAAAATCAGACTTTTTATCCTTGAAGGCCTATAAATAGTCAGTTTAATGCAGATGGTTTTGTTGTTGTTTAGACTTGAACTGTCTTTTAAGATGACTTTTAGCCATCTTTTTCCTCAGATGGTAGTATAAGAGGCAGCTTCTCAGATGTAAAGATTTTCTCTTAAATATACTGTGTTTGGGATAAAACAAATCATCTGAACAGGACTCACTGGGCTGTGGGGTATGGAGGGCCATAAGTGCCAAAAGGAATTATATTAAACACACCATTAAAGAACTGTGATTAATTAAAATTGGAAGTAGACAAATGTCAAACAAGTCAAATATTTAGTCAATCGAATGTCATTAAAATAGGAAAAAAATATTAAATGACTTAAATGAAGTGAATTGAAATTGAACTTTTTTCCCCAATTTTAAGTATTTATTTTATTCATGTTCGGCTCTCTCGGCCCTCCACAGTAAGTATAAAGAAGCTATGAAATGTCTTTTTTTGGCATGTCAGCTGTACCGTTTTTAAGTCTTTTTTGCTGTATGTGCAAGTGATGCTCAGTGAACATGTGAATTCTTCCAAATATTTTTATTCAGTGTCATTTTTCTGATTGTGACTTATTCCATGTGACCACAAAATAGTGACAGTAGCTCGGGGTCTTTCCCATGTCATCAAGGAAGAATAGGTATAAAATAATACTAAGAGCATACAACCTTATCTCGTAACATTTGATAAAATATTGGCATTTACTAGATTTTATGACTATAAATATAAACACAACCGTAAGAAGCTTTTCTGAAGTCTTTCTCGACACCAGCGGAGTGAGAGCAACGGATATGAGACGTCTGTTTGGTGCCATGAAGTGGACGGTAAAGTCCTGTGGTGAACATTAAGGCCTTTTTAAAATTATTTTTAAAGTGAAACTGTCATTGGCAGCGTGTAATTGTTGATAGCAGAGCCCTGAACGCAACATCTGTCTGAAAAACAATCCAAAACTCCAGAAAAAGGAGAAAAGAGAAGATTTAAAAAAGAAAAATGGATTCCAGCAGAGAAACCTGAGACTGCTGCTGAGAAGCTAAAAACAGAAGCATGATTTGTGACCACCGATTCACCCCCAGAAGAGATTTTTCTGCTCCCCTTGAGGACAAGAGGTTCGAAAGCAGCTGCTTTTACATTCGTAGGCATGGACCTTCCACTTGAGAGAGGTCTTAAAACAACATCAGGGAAAGATGAGACCATAAACAGTCACAAAATCCACACCGGAGGGTGAGGGTTCATCTTCACACGTGGGGCGTGACACCACCACCTCTTCCTCTCCGATATGGTTTATGCCTTCATACATGCAGCGATGATTAAACAGCTTAACGTGGAAAATCGTTCTTTGGTTAAAGTGATGAAACAGAAATCATACTTTAAGTTTTATGGATTTAAAGAAAAAAGGGAAAAAAAAAAAAAGATCTGTCCATGTTAGATACACCCTTAAATACAACCCTTTGAATTTTTGCTGAACAGCTTTCAGAAGCATGTTGTGAGGTTTGTCTATTTTTAGAAGCATTTTTTCCATCTACACCGTTTTCCTATGCTTGCACACGGCAGCGTCGACCATTTAAACATCACATCGTCACTACATGAAGAAAAAGCATGCACAAAGCCTCAGAGCCGCGCCCATTCCAAGGTAAGGAGGAGAGGAAAATAAAATGTACATTAGCTGCAAACCTCACTCACTTCTCACACACGCACTTTTCAGCAGATGAGCATTGTGTATCATAAACTCTGAGCTCTACTCAGGCACCAACCTCGCCTGGATTATTTTGAGTAGAGAAACATGTGGCACATGGCAAATGTCCAGACCTATTAAGTTCAAAGAAAAAACATCACAACTTGCAGAAGCTGTAATTTAAGGTCTGTGTAAATTAGATAAATTGGACAAAAGCACTGTGTTAGTCCTCAAAAGCAAAAAACAAAACTTATGCTCAGCTCCCCTCTAAATGGCTTTCGTTACAGTCTCGCTGGGAGAAATGTCGATGTACACAAAAACACCCTCACAAATAATATTCACTCACAGACACGCACACATGAAAACAACATCAGAGGATACCGTCAGCGATTAAAAATCATTCAAATAGAAACTGAAAATCCGCTTCCACAAAACTATGCTTCCTTACATCCTAGAAGACATGCATATACTCAAAACACATCGATTAGAATATTTTTGTGTTATATACCTATTGCATCTTAATATACTGTAAGTTATGAGTGTATGTACATTATTTTATGACACTGTGTACATGTGCAACGCCGTGACTGCTGCACAGAAACTCGTCTTAACACTGTGTGAAAGTTTTACGATGAAACCAGATCCGAACATCCTACCGCTGCCCGCGACTGCATCGTGACGTTAGTGAGGTCTGTTTTAGGTGGTTGTCGAAGGCGGCGGTGACGCAGCGAGCACGCGGCTCGTCGCGCTGCTGATACGAGCTTCGACGCATCCGTCGACACCACTGAAGGTTGATGGGTGAAAGCGGATGAGCGCCTCCTGTGGTCAAATCCTCCCCCTACGACCTGTGTTTCATCCCATCAGAAAAGGTTAAGGTACATGAAGAAAGGCACCTCAAAACTGTTGTGTGTTCTGAGACAGACAAGAATAAATGGTAGCTTTAACCCAGGCGGGCTGGACAATCAAAAGAAAAGAAAAAAGGGAGATTGAGCTCTGTCTGTGACTCCCTTTTAACTCAAGGATCAGGCGCCGTGTCTGCACGTGTGCAGCAGCGAGTCCTCCGTCTTCTCTCTGAAGTATAACAGCAAGCTTTGAGTAGTCAGTTTGTTTTCTTCGCTAATAAACCGGGTCGTGGCCCTTTTGTTTGTTTTTTTTTTTACAGTATTTACACCAGACAATGAGGTTTTTCATGTGAAATGAAGTCCAGACAGCTGAGAATGGGGTGGATGTGAACGCCTCCAAAAATCTGTGGATGACAGCAAAATAAAGGACGACGACTGAGCTGCAGGATCAAGCCCACCCTCGAGAGAGTTCAGAGCTCTTAAAAACTCATTTATTGGTTGTTTTTCTTGCTGAACAGCCGAGGCTGCTCGACAACATGTTTAAAGGTAACTTCAGGATGAGCATGATCCCTCCACTTACGCTCGCCGTCATCATTTATTTGGTGTTCATCAACAATTACATTAAAAAAAAAAAAAAAAAAAAAATCTGAGGAGGCAGCTGGTTGGTTGGATGCATAGACCATGTGACCCTGAGGGACATGATATTGTAGTTGTCATGTGATGGGACCGTGGGTGGCTGTGCTGCCCGAGCGTGCATGCAGGTGTGTGCGCGCCGTTGCCTAGAACAGCGTGTAGTCGGCGGGGTACATGACGGGGAGCCAGTTCTCGCTGAAAGCAGCGCAGTGTGTCCATCCGAGGTGACACATGAGCTGAGAAACGAGAAACAGGAAAAAAAAAAGAATAATTAAAAATCACTGCAGTGAAAAAGACGTCATCATGTGCTGGCCGTCACTGCTGCCGTACCTGGATGGAGTTCTTCATGTTTTCCTTGCTGGGCTTCTCCTCCACCATCTTTGAGGCGTATTTTAAAGCCCGCCCGTACATCTTGTTCACCAGAGCGTGTTTATATGAAAACATCAACACCTGAGCAGCCAAGGCAAAGAAACACAGAAAGAAAACTTTAGCCATGACCCCAAATCTTAAAAAAAAAACAAAAAAAAAAAACAAACAACCAAAAAAACAAACAAACACCAATTTGACTTCTCTTACCTTGGACTCAGTTAGCTCCGCCCACTTCTGCACCTCCCAGAATGTATCCATCAGGGCTTTGGAAATGTTCTGCAGGATGTCATCAGAGCTGCTGGCCGCCTCCTCTGCAGGCTCTTCAGCTACCGTCTGCCCCGTGGCGACAGCCCCGGCGCCATCCTGCGACGCGGGGGGCAGGAGGAGCTGGTCGGCAAGAGCGCAGCCCTTCCTGCACAGAGCGTCGAGCAGGGACGACTTCTGCTTCTCCATGTCGCTGAAACACAAATATTACCAGAGGTCAAGAGCAGCACGGCTACGTTAAGCCTAATTGTGCTTTTGTTTTATTGTTCTTCAGTTTGTCATTTTTCCATTATGTGTTTTATCCTATTGTAACGTGTCCTTGGGTGTCTTGAAAGGCGCTTTATAAATTTATTATTATTATTGTTCTTTTTTTTTTATAAAAAACAAACAAATAAAGGAGCCTAAATTCTAAAATGTACTTCATGTACAACTAAGGTAAAGAATGCCTGTTTATAGAACAGAATGCCTGGAGTTTGCAGAAAAATATGAGCCAGGTCACAAAACAACATCAAGGGTTTTTTTCTAGTAGGTTTTCAATGGGTTGAAGAGTTGAGCTCTTGTTTGAGCTGCCAAAAACAAACTAAACGAATAAAATTTGTTATGTGTGGAACACCTTCTCAGGGGTTCATGCTTAAGCTAAACTGAAATATTTAATAAAAATAGTTTGTGGTGTTAACGCTGCTCCTTGGAGCAACATACCTCTTGATAGAAGCGGCGTCCGGCCGTGGGTCCGTCTTCATGGTGAGGTAAACAGCCAAGGCTGTCTGGTCGATGCGGGAGATGACGAGGTCTGCTGCTGACACCACCTCCTTGAGGCGTTTCACACGCTCCTTAAACGTAAACAAAAGAAAAAAATGACTGTGAGTCAACAAGGTCGCACAGTTTAAACTCCGTCCCACGACTCCTGGCACATTCCCCGTTCCTCTTTCACCTTTTCCGAGTCCAGCTGGTGGAGCCTTTGCACATGCAGTGCCAGGTAGTCGGCGTAGTTTTCCATCAGTTCGTCATAAACAGCGCTGGAATCTAACCTGAACAGTAAAAGGTGACACACGGATGAGCGAGAAATGAAGCCGAGTTGAAGCGTTGGCGGACATAAGAGATGAGAAAGTGCACACACTTGGTCATCCACTGAATCTTCAGATCCCTCATAGCTTCTGCAAACTCGTCCTTAACGTCCTTCTCCTTCTCTCCTTCCTTGTCCTTCTCCTTTCCTCCATTCTTTGTTTTGTTGGGAGCAGGAATTAAGTGGTAGAAGACGGGAACGACATCCTGCATAAATGTACACACACACACACACACACACACACACGCGCACAAAACAAACAAACAAACCAGCTCAGTCGAAATAAAGTCATTCAACCTTCAGCATAATCCATCATCATGATCCCAAATTCTCACCCTCTGCTAACTTAAAGCACCAAAATCCTCCCGTTTCACTGATTTTTAAATTAAGGAAAAAATACCCAGTTATAAAAGTTTCAATTATAACTAAAAAGATAATTGTATTGACCACCAGAAAACTAACTACTCTGTCGAAATAACAATGCATCAAAGAACAGAAATACTGACATGCTTTGAAATGATAAAGCAGAAGTAACAAATCCTAGCTTAAGGCAAAGAGTAAGCCATTTCCAGATGGTAGGAGAGCAGTGGACGCTCTGTTGTACAGTGTTTCTAGCTCATCCAGTACCTTTTTAAACTTCCCTTGTCGTTTTGCTGAGGCCTGCCCCTGGTGGTCAGAATAACACACAGTAAGGAAGAGACAACACAAGCACACCAGAAAAAAGGATTCTCTCTTTATTTCATCCTCACTGGCAGACTCGGAGAGTCCGCACACCTACCTGTTGCTCACTAAACGTGTGGTCTTAGATTTAAATCTAAACACATCTGATCTACTTATTTCCTTTATTCCTGCAGCAGGGAAAACTGAATGCAATCAGTGCATTATCAGAACTATATAGGTTCTGATAATTATATAAGTATAAGTGGAAAACACTGATCTGTAAATGGCTGCTAGAGTTCAAACTGAAGTCTTTTGCGCCGCAGCCACCAAGTAAAGCCACGAACACACACAAGCTTAAAAAAAAAAAAGGGAAAGAAAGAAAGAAATTAAGAGTTGATTCACGAAGCGTCTTTAGGGAAGTTAAAGTGAGTGCTTGCAAACTAAGAAAAACCAAGAGAACAGGCTCTGCAAACAAAACAAAGCAATTGTAGAGCAAATTTTGGCGGGATTATTGCAAACAGCCCCCAGGCCCAGTGGTAAGTAGCAAATCCCCCTCACATTAATTTAGTTGGGAAAAAAATCTTTGTCTTTTCCAACTAAAATTCTTCCAAATTTTCCAAACAATCGGACTCAGCTGTATTCAATGTGTGAGAGAGCCGCATTTACCACATTAGATTGATTCTGGATTGAAACAGAAGCCAAATGAATGAGAAAAAATATATATCAGGCTTCAACTTCAACAGGTTTGTGCGTGAAGGGGAGCAATCGAGCACCGGTGTTTTCTGATCCTCAGGACTGCGAGTCCTGCCGGCTTCACATTAAATGCATCTAAGTGAATGCTTGGCAGGAAATGTGAAATCCAGCACGACTTTGGGTCCTGATGAGCAGGACCACATATTTCTTTGAAGTATCGAAGTTTACAAAGAACAAAGCTACTCACAGCTTTCTTGCCATACTCGCTCTTGGGCACGACGAGAGAGCCTGAAAGGTAGCATCCTGGACTCGTTCCCTTCGGGATCCTGTAAACAAAGTAAAGGAAGAAAGAGAATAAATTCAGAATTATAAATAAAGACTCACATATTTTAAAGGTGAAGTATTTTCACACTGGTTTGTGGTCCTGTTTTGAAGTCTAGAGATGATAATGATCATCATCATGGTTACAAAAACCTGGTCTGACTGTGACACCACATGCTCACTGACGAGTCATTAGCCAACGAGCTTGCAGCTGCATACCACAGAGAGTATCTGTGGTAATTGAAGTGGATGAAATGAAATGTTGCGTGTAAAGAGCAACCAAATCTATTTAGAGACCAAAAATGGTGCTGCGGTGCAAGGCCACAGGAAATAAAGAGTTTTGGAGCATGGATATGCAGACTAAATATGTCTGGCCCCTTGGTGGGTTTGACTCACTTGTCATCTGGCAGGCCTGTGACGTAGAAAGGCTGTGTGGCACCCGGGGACAAGGTGACAGAATTCACCTTCTTCTTGGCCATGAGGGCAGCGCGATGTGTCTCGTAGACATCCAGGCTGAGGGTGGTGGAGAGACGGTGAGAAACCACGAACGGCAGATCCTTAAGTCGCTCCAGCTCACTGGACTGCTCGTGGCGGACCTGCAGCCGGATAGTGTAGTCTCCCTTTTCCAGCTTTAAAGAATACTGTAAAAATAAAACAGATTTCTTTTTTTAAATCCACTTTCCCATCATCATAAAGCAGGTACAACCTGCAGGTATGAAGGAACGGTTCAGAAATGCGTGTACAGGCATTCCTTGTGGCATGGTCTTCATGTGTACCTGGTGTGGATAGGCGTCACCAGAGCCCAGCAGTCTCTTGTTCTGGTCAAACAGCATCCAGAGCTGACTGTCAAACTCTGACTCGTACAGCAGCTCACACAGCATTGGGCAGCTGGGTGTAACTTCTCCACTCTTGGGCTGAAAACAAGCAGGAGAAGATTATACACACATGGCCAAAAAAAAAAAAAAAGCTACGTTTTCCTCTTCATATGTTGTGCAGGTGGTTTTACCTGGTGAAAGCTGTAGGTGAGCACGATCTCATAGAGTTGTCTGTTATCAGGCAGAACATCCCTCATCCCCAACGCTTTTATCTTTGAACTTAAGGGCCTACAAAACAGACAATGGGCTCAATAAAGGAGCTACAACTAAAGTTAGAACCAAATTGTGCACACCTATACTCACCTCAGAGGCTGAACCCACGACTTGAGGGTGATAGTTGGAGACACTTCCTCGTATCTCAGTGGTGAAAACACTTCGAAACTCGTCACTCCCTCCGAGGCATGCTGCGCAGTCACAAACCAGAGTCAGAAAAGAGACAGAAGAGAACCGATACGGTCTGAGCAGCGTCTTAATTCCTGCTGTTGCTGTTCTCTTTGTTCTTACTATGTGCAGGGGTGACGGAGACGTGTTGAGCCCGTGGAAGGCGATGGTGTAGTCCACCGTGACGTCACCCAGGCTCGCCCACCAGCGTGCAATGCAGAACTCTACCACTTTACCTGACTGGAGAAGAGATTATAAAGCACAGTGCTTATCCACACTGTTTTGTTTTTCCACATCATAATTTACATGTTGAATCCAAGCCAAGAGAATATGAATATACACACCAGAACAGGGAAAGCCTCAGTTAGTGAGCCTCTCTCCAATAGTGACGAGAACTTGTAGAACTCATTTGCTCTGTAGGCTTTCTGTTTGACCAGGTGCACCGCATGGAGAACAAACTTTGACGAGACGTCTCCCGAATGAGACGTCAGTGTGACCTCTGCAAGAGAGAGACAAGAACAGAGGTTAAAAAAACAGAAGAAGAAGCAGAAGAAGAAGAAGAAGCAGCAGCAGCAGAAGAAGGCTGTATCCCAATTCAGGGTCTGCAGCCTTAAAGGCCGCATTTTAAGGCCGATTACGTCACAGCGA